ATATACATGCTGATAAACGTATTTTAACTTTTGCAATATGTATTTCGATTTGTTTGATACACACCCATTTTACGTAGTGCTCATGGTTTGCTTATACATGTATTTTAGTTTTCCAAACAGGGGAGGCCGATAAGGGAAGGGAATCCCTTTTTTTTTTTTTTTTTTTTTTTTTATGAAAAAATAGAGATTAGTTGTTGAGGCCTACACTACATCGAAATTCAACAATTTGAACGGTCAATTTTTTAAGTTGCACCTCATAAATCATCATTGCAAAAATATTAGCCAAATTGGAAATATTTGAGACATCAAATAGGCAAATGATTTCGAACTTAATGGAATTTTTGCAAGGATGATTTATGAATCGAGACTTACAAAATAGAAATTCGGATCATTGAAGTTCGATGTTGAAGGGGTCGCACAACTAATCCCTATTTTTTTTTTTTTAAGAAAAAAAGAAGGGTAAAAAAAAAAAAAAGGGGATTCCTTCCCCTTACAGAGCCTGTCCAAATAGGTATCCGGATTTATTTGGTATATACCATTTTCATAATACATGTGCTTTGTTTACAGTTGTAAACATTTGGCCACTTTGTACTATGATCTAGTAGTATTGTAAGTGAGAGATTTTAGGTTTGATTCTCTCCAAAGGCGAATTTGAACCACATTATTGCTAACTCATTATGAGACTAAACCAATCCCCTTCCCTTTATTGTAGATAATATCGTTTGTTCCAAAAAATAAATATTGTAAACATTTGCTTTCACCTAATATTTATCTAAATTTACATAATATAAAGATTACTCTATTTTAGTTTAGGATTTACCTTAATCTCATTCGTGTTAAGATACGCATAGTTTACGAATGATTATATTCAAAACGTTGCGCCTAGTTTTAATTTATCTAGTTCCCTTCAAAATATTATTAGTAATTTGTTTGTGCGACTATGCAGGTCAGGCTAACGTGCGTTCCAGCCCAACTCACTACGGCTTTCGCACAGAATCAGACGGCGATGGGATCTCCATCTTTGGATCCAAAGACATATGGATAGACCATTGTAGCCTATCACACTGCAAGGATGGACTGATAGATGCAGTGATGGGGTCCACAGGAATAACAATATCAAACAATTATTTCTCTCATCACAACGAAGTCATGCTGCTGGGCCACAGCGATGACTACTTGCCCGACTCTGGAATGCAAGTCACCATAGCCTTCAATCACTTTGGAGAAGAGTTGGTGCAGAGAATGCCTAGGTTAGTCCTTTTATTATAGATCAAACATTGTTTAGTATACATTACTTTTTAAGTGGCTCAGATTAATTCGTTGAGTTTCTTTTCAATTTTGACCATACATCTAACTGCTAAAGTGAGTAATGTATGTTGTATATTAATGTACTCTCGAATTCTCGTGCCTAGGTGTAGAAGGGGCTACATCCACGTGGTCAACAACGACTTCACCCAATGGGAAATGTACGCCATCGGAGGTAGTGGAGACCCTACAATTAACAGCCAGGGCAACCGCTACACTGCTCCGTCAAACCCTAACGCCAAGGAGGTGACAAAGCGTGTGGAGACGGCGGAAGGGAAGTGGAAGAACTGGAACTGGAGATCGGAGGGGGACATAATGGTAAATGGAGCATTTTTTGTAGCATCTGGGGAGGGAGTGGAGCTTAACTATGAGAAGGCCTACAGTGTGGAGCCCAAGTCTGCTGCGCTTATTGACCAACTCATCATGCATGCTGGTGCCCTTGGTGTTGGTGGCAGGTATCTTTCTTTTCTTTGTTGCTCTTTTTATCTCTCTGCACTTTTTTGTCTCTCCCTTTACTCTCTTTTACTTTTCCTGATTGGCTGTGAACTCACTTTACTGTTCAATAATTTCCCACTAGTTCATGCCAAATTTACGGTGCATGGGTTGAATTCAGGCTCAAGTTACTTAAAGTTAGATTTACTCGGTTTGGATTGAAGTGGTTTTTTTTAGCAAAAATGATGTCCACAGTTTTTTTTTTTAAATTTTCTGCACAATTTTCTTTTTATTTTTCAATTTAATATATTATGGCTAGGGAACAAAGGAGGGAGATGGGGATAGAAGAGTGCAATGGTTAAAAAATGAAATCACAGAAATCACCTTCCTTTTCAATGCTATACATATACCTTCAAATTACCAAAAGCGTTTTTGGTATTTTTCAGTTAAAATAAACAAAAGTGTTTTTTGGATGGTCAAAAGATTCGTTATTACCTCGTACTGGTAGGGTTTTTTTTTCGTATAGAACTTACAAATGAATATGCAAGAAGCATCAAAATTCCACACGCTAAAGCACTCCGAAATACATAGTACATACTTTTTTAAGCCTAGCTTTAATTAATTTAACACTATTTAACTTGAAGTATTTACTGAACTCATTCGTCCATCGTGTTAACTTATAATAGTGGTGCCTTCTTGGTTTGAAATGATAAAACATGTACGCGATACTATATCTGAAAAAAATGTGACAATGCCTAATGCAATTTTGATTGAGAAGGGACAACAACCTGGGGAAGTGGAGCTCGAACGGCGACGGAAATGGTTTAGGCTTCAGGTCCAGACTATACGGATGACATGTCGGGAAGCAGCCGTATTCCACTGCCGCCACTTTCATCCACCTCCACCATCTTCTCATTTTTCATCTCATTGTCATGCTTGCTATTTTTGTATATTATCCCAGAGATGCATTTATAATATCTGAAAATAATCAATGATTTTAATCTCCTTTATTAACATTAACAATGTCTGCACGAAGTATATTTGGTATCCAAGACCAAGAGAAAAGAAAATATAAGAGCAAGCTGTTGCCTTTTGCTTTAATTAGCCTAATTATGATTACAGTTTATTAATTCACTTCAATTTAGGATGAAAAATCTTCTGAAAATGGATAAAGGGTGATGTAGTTCCCATCTAGTTTCCCAATCACTTTTATATTGAGGTTGAACAACTTTTTATCGTGCCTGTGTTTGTGGTTTTCTGCTTTATATCCATCGAGTTCAGGTTACAAACTTCGTGTTAGTCCTGGCTGGGACTTGGGAGCCTGGGTGGATAGAATTAGAAGGTGATGATGTAGTAGGTTCTGATGCCAAATATGTTGTTCAACGGACTAGTGTACCGATATTGTCTCAAAACTTAACTATTTGAGTTCAACACATATGGATACATGTTGAGAATCAATCCCACATTAATGAGAGAATAGACATTGTATGGGCTTATAAGTAAGTTGGGCTGCTCTCCATATTACCAATTGATTTCATGGTGGAACCTCAACTTTTTTCATGGTATCAGAGCAGATTGGCCCGCGTGAAGCCAAACAACCACACAAGCTTCACGTCACCCCGTTGTGTTGTCCACGTGTTAGACTTGAAAATTTACCACACGTGAGGGGGTGTATTGAGAATGAATCTCATATTGATGGAGGGGGGACCTTGCATGGATTTATAACGCTTCACGTCATTCCGTTGTGTTGTTCATATGTTAGACTTGAAAATTTGTCACACGTGAGGGGATGTGTTGAGAATGAATCCCATATTGATGGAGGGGGGATCCTTGCATGGATTTATAAGTAAGTTGGGCTACTCCCATATTGCCAATTGATTTTACGGTAGAACCTCAACTTTCTTCAATATTAGGGTTTTTATCTTAAACTATCCTGGTTTTATATATTATACGTGTTGTAGATTATTGTGATACTTTTTCCACAAGAGATAATTTCTTTAATTTTCAAATTCACAACTTGGATGGAGCCACACAACTCAACTGCAATATAAAATAGTGAACGATCGGTATTTAAAACATGAATTAAGAACTAGGGTTGTGATCCCTTTATCCTTGTAAACCTGCATGTGACGTCTACTGAAGCTCTCGTTCAGATCATGTAGTCATCTTTCCAGCTGCCTCCTCATATATAATCTGAGTTGCCACATGGATAATATTATCTTCTGCTTTTGCTTACGCCCGACCAACTCTTTTCGTCATCAGAATTACAAGTAGAGCTAGGTTGTCTGATTTAATTTATTTTTATGTTATATATTGTCACATTAACAATGTAATAGTAATGAAAAGTAGAGGGGCTTGAACTATATATTACCATCCTTGTGGAGATAAAAAGTAGGAGTCTTGATGGTTGGTGGTGTGCCACAGGCTTTTCTGACCAATTGATAGGTGTAAGGGTATAATAGATTTAGTCGCTTGAAATATAGAATTTCAACACTAAACAAGGTATTGCATTTATGTTCAATGAGAGCAACTTTACCGCTATCTTTTAACTCACATGATAAAGACTTCCACACCCTTATTTTCTCTCCTAACACACTCCATTTTTACTTTTTAAATTGAGTAAATCAAAATAAAATCAACAATGAAATTAAGAGAGAAAATAAGTGTTAGTATAGATCAATCATGTACATGTTTATCTGCTATATATCAGATATATCAGGTGGTATACTTTTAACTCTTAAATCACGTGTCGAATATAACAAGAAAGACCTCTATCAGCTGAAAATACGCTCAGTAGAGGCATATTATTGGAGGGATTGATAATTAATACTTGACTCGTTATATTTAAGGAGTCATTTCTCTTTATATCACGACATGACATCATTTTACCGTAAAAATGTCATAATTGATGTGGCAAACAAATTGATAGTTATTAACGTGTAATATCCTTATAATTAACTATCAACTTATTTGATTTATATGAACGACTAAAATGGTCTCTAAGTTGAATGAAGTTTTCTAGAGATGATCATTGGATGATGATAAAGAGAATGAGCAATTTGAAAAGTTTGTACGGTGGTGAAATGATGTCACGTAATTCATATTATAACGTTTGTAAGGTGAAATGATGTCACATTGTCATGTAAAGAGGAATGAGTCCTTATATATAAGGAGGCAAGTGGGGCCTTGAAAGGATAGTAATATTGCTTTGTTTATATGGTGTTCATTTGAATCGTTTTCGCTACGCTTTAACAGCTCAGAGATAAGACGAGGGAAGACAATTCAAATTTAACTGAGATGATTGTACATCCAATGTATGCCATTACAAATTACAGTTTTGAAAAGCTTCATCAAGTACATTACAGTGAACTCTACCTAACTTATCAAAGTAGATCCCACTGTTCTAGGTAGATGAGCGTACAAAAGCTATTCACCGTCCATACTTTGTCCCAAGAGTATTTGTTAAGCCATCATCAGCGGCCGTATTTGCTTCCCAGAAGAAATGCCAAACTTCACTTGATGGAGCTGGAAAGGAAGAAATGCATTGTAGTATGATTCTTTGACGTTCATTCGATCCACATTTCACACTATTGAGTTTCTGTTAATTCATGTCCCAGAGAAAACTTGGACAGTCCCATGTATCACTATCATCCGGAGTCCATGTCAGATGACATAAATCGGACTCGACGCTATTACAGTCCTGATTATAGGCTGTTCCATTTTGTTCACTTGATAGCTCAGATATCCAATCTGATAACTGGGTTTCATATGGAGAATTTGTCACTGCAAAGTCTGATAAACAAAGATCATCAGAGCTAGTAACCTTGGTTTCCCATGAATTCTTAACGGAGTCATGGTCTTGATCGAAGTCGTATTTTTCATTATTCATATCACCTTCCTGGCAGAAAAGACCTCGTCCATTTTTGTTCAATGTACATTGGAAATTTCCTGCAGACACAGCAATTGTTAGTAATGTGGAGCAAGCACCTTGAAGAACAAGCCTTGGCATTTTTCACAATATATATCAGAAATCAGAAGAAAATGATGGAAGTACAATATACCATCTGGAATCTGTGTTTTCTTCTTTAAATGAGTTCTCCAGTAATTCTTGATCTCATTATCGGTTCTTCCTGGCAGCGCTCGGGCAATCTTCGACCACCTATAAGATTGATATAGTGATATAGTTAGAACAAACTCAGAACACTACAGTATTATGCACTTAAGCTAGGTGATAGTGCTAGTGATGTAGCAAGAAGGTAATAATCTCGCAAACTTGGAAAGGTATTACCAAAGACAACAACTACAAAACTCACTTGTTACCCCAACGTTGATGAAGTTGGAGAATGGTTTTCTCTTCTATGATGGTAATCTGGCCATGCTTAACGTTTGGGTGGAGATAGTTCAACCACCGCATCCTGCAACTCCTACCACTCCTCCTTAGACCTGAACGATGTAAACTGCATCTGAATTTATCCGTTCACTACATATGAAGTGAGTCATCTTTAAACTTCACAAGTAAAAATCATATGTAATGTGCTCACCTGATTCCTTAGCTAATGCATCCCACCTCCGATTCCCCTTAAGGTTTACAAAGGTGGTGAGTAGTTCATCTTCCTCTTCGAGCCACAGACCTTTACGCAGTTTCTCTCCGTCCATGGCTGCTTGACAAGCCATCATTGGTGTGACAAACCAAGAGAAGCTAAACCCTTATATACGAGAACCGGGTGGCAAAAGAGTTGGGGAAAAGGGAAAAATGAGACCTCTTACATAAACTCCACTAGTTTGTGGGAACTCCACCACTGGCTTTGGCTTACATAAACTCATCCAGTTAAGGCAACAAATTAGGTCATCCAGGAAGCTGAACAGTTGATGATTCTACTTCTCTCTCCCTTTTTTATGCATCACATTTTTTGTCTCTAGCCATTTTGTCTCTGTCTATTAATCATATTATTCATATAATATATGATTAATAGTGAGAAAAGGGAAAGGATAAAGAGATAATGTTTAAGAAGGTAGCCTGGGGAAGCAAATATTTTGATTGGATTAAAAGATATTATGGACACTTTGCATTTGCACATCTGGAGAGAAGTTTGGACTGGATGCGGTAAGGAGTGGAATTTTTTGCCATTCTACCTAACCATACCATGACCATACCAATTTTGTGCCAAACGAGAATGATACGTTAATTTTACCAAACCGAAGATATTTGTATGGTATTAGTATCCAAAACCAGTGTTGATGGTACTACCGTACCTTACATTTAGGGCTCAATTATCCCTACTGCAACCTACCTTTGAACTTAGGGTTCATTTGATGCCTGGGATTGGAATGGAGTGGCAACAAATAAGTTTCAAGGTTAAAGGTAGATGTGAATGATTTTATTAATGAGGGAATTGAAGGAAACATATCCCTTCTAATCCAAGCACAGGTGAATGCTTCATGACCACAAGTTTGGTGCCAAGAATTACACTGGATTGGATATATTAACTCATTAGATTTAGGTATGTTGAATGAAGAAATGGATGCCAGCTTCCCAATTTTGTCCAAATCGAAAATAAAAGATGGTTTGGTAACGAACGAAACTTATCCCTCTCACTCCCTACAAATGGTAGCCTATTGACACCTTATAACCAATCCATCTAATGTCTTGACCTTCGACAAAAGTTAGAAGTTGGCAAACTTGGCATTCATCTCTGACATCAATAAACCTCAAATTTCGTAAGTTAATATATCCAATCCTAGCCAACGAATCAATAAACCTCAAATCTTGTAAGTTAATATATCCAATCCTAGTCATTGAACATGACTTCTACATATGCATTTATGTGCTATATGTACAGGTAAGACAGCTTTCAAATATAACTAGACATTACTCCAAGACTCGTATTATTTAAATTCAACTATTAATGTCACATTGAACAGGAAAACTGTATATATGGGGGGCCGAAATAACATGTAACAGAGAACTCTTCATGCCACAATACAAAATAAGAAACCTCCCGCTTCTGATCTATAGATACTAACAACTACATACGCCTAAACCACAGCACAAGCAAAGACAACACAAGTGGAGAGTGGAGACCACATAATAAGTCATTCTTCCTGGTTAGGCTTCTGCTGACTGCAATTACCTATCCTCTTGATACCACAAAATCGATGAACTAGCGATCTATAAATGATTTATTCATGAGATTGACAGCATCATCCATGAACTGCATTAGAGACATGATCAATGTATTAATTATTAAGACCTCTGGAACTGTGGATTTTCATGTTTTGTGTATGAAAGCACAAACTGCTCTGCCAGTAAGTACTGGACAAGTATCAAACAGAAGTAACAATTTCTTATCAACAACAGTGGAAGTTACATTCTAGAACCGTGACCACAAAGAAAGTGTCGAGGTAATAAGTCTATCCTTACTTATTCACTTTCAGGACAAGTAAAAGAAAAAAAATTTAAAGAGTACAGAGAGGTCTTAACTCTGAGCTACAAATTTTCCAATTCATACAAATATCATCAGTTTTCGGGAAAAGCAAGTCAATCAGATATAACTGAAACCCAACCTCCTTCAAATTCATACAAAAATCATCAGTTTTGGGGAAAAGCAGGTCTGCAAAACCAAGGTCACAGCTTGAAAATAGAAGCTGATAAATTCCTACAAAACCTAACCGCAGAAGATATGTAGCAAGAACTAAAGATGCTAATGTATCCAATAATAAATTTCATTATGATTCTGTGCAAGACCATTTCTACACTTCCAATCGATTCGACCTAAAAGCACTCATTTGTTTGTTGGCGTCATATCATTTTCAGCACATCATTGATTGGTTTTACTATTGAGGAAAATCATTTCTGAATTACTATGCTCAGAATGTTTACCTTATCTCTCTTCATTACTTGAATGATCAATAACGTGTATCAATCTATTGACATTCTTGCTACTTTCCATTACATGATATTGGAGACAACACCATAACTCAAGATCGCTCCCAGCTTTATTTTATGTAGTTTTATTTCTTTTTCTTCTAAAGCTATCTACTTTCACTATCTATTCAAGATTGCTAACTCCAAGAGGAAAACTGATCTGAATCATAGAATTTACCTTTCCAAGCTGCTTCAGCTCTCGCCCTACTGGTTCCAAAAATTTCAGGTTAACTTCAATAGGCCATACCTGCAAGAAAAACAAAAATTCAATTAAAACAATAATAACTAAGAAGAACAATAGACCAGGTGCACAGATAACTGATAAGTATAAAGTAAAAACTTGATATATCATAAATCTATTGCACATGCACAACAAGCAAATCGAAGAACCAAACCACAACTGTGAAACAGACAATTCAAGCACAGGCACTGTCCTCGTACAAGTAGACACGTCGCCACAAAATACGCCTCCGGAAAAGCAGAACTAATTAGTGTATGCAGAAATTGCAAGCGTTTGAAGAAAGTAATAAACTTACGAATAACATAAAAAAAGACACCCAATTCAAACATAAAGCAATGGCATATACTACAAAGTTGGAACATTACAAAGAAGAAAGCAAAACAAATTAAAAAGAACAACAGGCAAACCCCAACCCGTACCAGATGTTTGGATTCTAAATTTGCATAGGTACTTAGCATAACTTAAATTATAAATTCTAAATTCAGATAGCATAACGGTTATAGCAATCTACCTACAGGCAGCAACAATTGGTCAAAAATTAAGCAAACCCACAAAAACATCAGTCAAAATTTGTGAATTAAAAAGTTAAATAATGGCTTACTGGACCAAATAAGTATGCACATATTTTAGTGATGCAAAAATAAGAGCAGGAAGCAACCTTGAGACCAAGTAATTTGACGGGTGCTACTAGTCCTGGGACAATGCAATCCGGTCCGGCGGATTCCACTATAGCTTCCATGGCCAACCCACTTCCCACTGGATTCGGGTGCTGCAAAATGACACAATTGCACGACGACCCAGATGAGAAAAAAAAAAACGAAAACAACAATGTAATTAGAGGAGCAAAATGGGGGTAAAGTTTGGGAGAAAACTGACCTTCATGACGGAGAGGGCGTAATTGGAAGTAGGGTTGGGGGTTATGCGGAGAAGAGGGGAATGGTGAATTTTGGGGATGGGTTTGACGTTTGAGGTCCTCCAAGGCACGTCCCTTGGCAGTGAAGAACCACTTCCTCCTTTGCGCGACATGCCCTTCTTTCGTACCTAGACGGGGAGAGAAGGAGAGAGGGAGGGAGAGAGAGAGAGAGAGAGGTGAGCGACGAGAGAGAGACAGAGAGAAAGAGAGAGGTGAGCGCCTATGCGTCCGTGTGTGGATTTTTTAGTTGGATAAAGAAGATGATGGAGCAAAGCTGGCGGCTGAGGTTTTGTATTTCCTTGGCGTTTGTTCAAATTATTATTATTATTAATTTTTATTTTTATTTTTTTGTCAGAAACGTTTATTAAATTTTTAGTTTGCCTTTTTATGTCATCTCTCTAATAGAGTTATGGCTCACCTATGCATCTCAATCTATTAGAGCAGTTCCACCGTGGGCAATAGCCCAGTGGACTAGCTCTCAAACAAGGCCAGAAAGCCCGAGCAACTTGGTCCAGTGTGTGCGGGCAATGGAGCCGGAGCGAGCCCAAGGGAAAGGCTCGGCAGGAGTTGCCAACCCGAGAGCCCGAAGGGCATGTGATGCAAGGTTGATGTCTAGGCAACGTCAGCCACATGGTGGACGGGCCTGGACAAAGTCGAAGAGCAGCAACACCCTGATGTGGTGGTGGAGGGGCCTGGATAGCTCTTCGCAGAGGTCGATCTCAATGCCGATGATGCCAATATCCTGGAGACGAAGGGCGAGCTTCTCGCTGACGCGAGAGGCGACCTTGGCATCCCAGAAGGTTTGGGAGTAAGGGAAGCGGTTGAGATTGGATCGGTAGCGAGCGACAAACTCTTGCTCGGATGAGGAGGCCATGGCTATGATTGAGGAGCTGCTAGGGCTCGTCACCTGTGCTGTGATTTTGTGGCATGAGAGCACTAGGCGGAGGACATGGTGGTTTCCGGACATTGCAATTTGCAGAGAGTGATAGAAACAGAAAGAGACGGAACTAGGAACTATTCGATTCTATTATGTTCAATTCTATTGAGTCATCGCTGGGTGGTGTTTGGGTTTTTGTTTTACTTTTCTTAAAATAATTATTTTGTATTATTTTATAAATAAAAAAATACTATTATTTTATTGTCTATTGCCATGGCTATTCAGTTACTGTTTACTGGGTGGATTAAATAGTGAATAGCCCTAGGGGGCCTTAGCAACGGTGGAGTTACTCTTAGAGAGATGGTACAAATAAATTGTAAAAATAAAATTTTTGTTTTTATTTTTCTTTGTTGACTCTTTTTAGTAGAGTGACACTGTTAATGGGGTTAGATGGTAAGTTGTTAAGGACGAAGGGGAAGTGATTTAAATTGAACCCACATCAAGGTCCATAAACATAATTTATTTTGTTTCGCCACTTAAAGCATCAACTGCTTTATATTCTAATTGAGTCTGCTATGTCTCAGTTTATTAGTGAATTTTGCGGCCGATGAACTGGGTGACTTGATTTCTTCGTATTGTTTTGGTCCCGTTTATTTGATCAAGCTTGTTGACATCCCTTAAGCTGCTGAGAATGTTTTATTGTAGTTTGTTTTTGTTGAGCGTTTAACCCCGTTGTTAAACTAAATTTTTTCTTTGTAATATTTGGTTGACGAAAACCTTTTGATAATTTTTTTTTTTTAATCTATTTCCCTTTTTCACTCTTAATTTTAGGATTTTTTCTTTGTTGAGAAATGATACCCACTTTTTTCTCCTCTTACATGTACCCTCTTTATTTTTAGTCATCATCAAGGTTCTAAAAGAAATTAGGCTCTAGTCAAGCAGAGAGTTAGAGCCTAGCGCCTAAAAGGCTAGCAGGAATTTAAGCAGATTTAAGTAAATTTATTATAAATCATATAAATAAATATCTCTTTATACTTTAAATAATGCATAATTATATTGGGATACATGAATTGCAAATTAGAATGACATATAGATTATAAAATATTAAAACATAATGAAAACATGGGGAATAAGCGTATAATGCGTGTTTATCTAAGTATTAAACAAGTTTCTTCACAATTTATTAAAAAATAAAATGCAAAATAAAAATTATATATTTTCCGTCCAACTGAGAGTCATGACTAGGTGGTTGCTTAGGCAGGTTTGGGTGGGCTAGGCAGCCTAGCTGGTGCCTAAGCAGGTCTAGATGTCTTTTCTTAATTTTCAAACGCCTAAGGGATAATCAGGGCGGTGGCCAGCCTTTTAGCGCATAGATGACACTAGGCGGGGTTTTTTAGAATAGTAGTCATCATGTTAAATGAATTAACAAAAATTACAAACAAAATTAAACGTGAGTATTGAGAAAGAAAAAAAAAATGTGTAGTTATTGTTTTCCTTTTTTTTTTTAATCTGTTGACGGAAAATCAGTGCATCATCCTCTACATATAATATTTTGCTCCAGAAAATTGGAAATTCATAAAAGGTTTTCCTGAAATATACATGTATTTGGGTTGTGCTTGTATCCTAATCTTCTCAAGTTTTTAGGTTGGAACTTGGAACTTCCCAATTTAAGGTAACATTAGTTCCATTTCATTGGTGAGGTAAATATTTTGAGTTATAATTGTTAAGTAAATGACACCACATATTTCTTTTGAAAATTAAGAAATTTCCTTTTTTGAAAAATCACAAAATTTTCTTTCGATTTTAACGATATTCTAATCTAATTATACTACAAGAAAAGAAATCAAACTTAGCCACATCAAAGTGGCTTGGAGCCCCTGCTCTAGCCAACTGGATTACGCTCTCGTCTGCAAAACATCACACAAATTTAAACTCACTTTATGCGCATGGGAAAGCAGGTTCCATTTCCAATGTTTTATTGACAAAAGATGGACCAAAAAGTGTAACTTTACCTAATAATTCTTGTTCCCAACATGGTAGAAGAAATCGAAAAATGAAGAGAGGGAGAAGCACAACATATTTCCCAAATCATTCTTAATCTGCAGCATATTGCTAACAAATTCCGTACATCTTAAATTACAATTTATCGCTGCTTCTGATATCTTCAATGATTTGAACGGGATCAAAAAAATTAAACGACAAAAAATATATTAAAAAAGAATACCACCAATGCCGGTACATGAAATCCTGGTTGATCATTCAGCTCGTAACCATGTCCTCTTCCCCTCTCTGTGCTGCCGCGTCTGCCAGTTTTTTCCATGTCAACTCTCGCTGTTCTACCACCTCTCTTGCCCTCGCTTCTTTCTCTGCAAGCTGCCTCTGGCACTCTTCAAACAACTCAGCATCCATTTCAGAAAACATTTTCCGAACATTGACAGTCAGGCCGTGAACTGCTTGGTTCCAGTGATTTTGGATATTCATCTCCAACGCCTCGAAAATAATTGGTAGTATGACATTCCGGTTCTGAGCAATTAAACTGACAATGTGCTCATTATTCCATAAGAAGAGTGCTCGTTCCGCAACCTGCATTAAAAATGTGACTCAGAAAAACTTTCAAGGAATGCAATTATTAGGTAAATACAACTTTAGAAGTTTTGATTTGGAATCTTATCCCTTCACCATTTCATAAATGTTAAAGAGTTAACCCCCATTTCATTGAGATTTTTCAACAGAATATCAAAACGGAGCCCCATTATCAAAGCAAGATCAATTGTCGACACACCTATATTCATGACGGCAAGCACAAAAGCTAACTAGAATCCCATTTCTTGCTGGGCCATACCAATACTTTCAAAAGACAGCATTAGACAACCGTCTAATTGGGGACAAGATTAAATAACAATAAATCCATAAAATGAGCAAAAAAGAAAAAGAAAAAAGGGAATTGTTAATGGCACTCCAAAAATCTCATTCTACACTCCAAACTTTCTATATTTGGAAAGAAAATACACTTGTGAGGAGTGTAGAATGAGATTTTTGGAGTGCCAATAACACTTCCCAAAAAAAAAAAAAAAAGCATTTAAATTCAAACAACTGCTGCTGTTTGGCAGAAAAACAAAACATACATATTGTTAGTTACAAGTTACAACTATAAAAAGCCCATGATATTTCATCTGAACATTACATAAAGGTTTCAGGTTTCTTAACAAATCAGGAATGTTGTCAGCAGGACACTTAATAGGGGTGGACGGGAACTATGAAATTTAAAACTATGTCAAATACAGCAAGCATTTTTGCAAAAAAAATACATCGAAAGTTAGATTAATCAAGGTGAACTGTTTCTCTTCATAAATTGATCATCTTAACCACCAAAGGGATATCAATATAAAATGTCAATCGAGAAGGTTGCATCCATCATTGCTTCATAAACACTCATGTCTAACAAACACTTGGTTTTCCACTGCCTAATGCACACTTTCCTGGGGATTTGTCTAACCTGGCAATCTTGTGCTTTTGCCCCCATAATATTGATACTATATGATTTCAGATACTTAAGATGGTCCTTTATGTAATAAGTAACTACTTCTCCCTCTCAAATTATATGGTCTCTATATACCGCCAGACTACAACTTGATCTCATATGTCAATGTCACCCACCATATTGTTCCATGTCTGCTTATTCAATAGAAAATCAATATGACAAGGACGCCAGTGTTTTTTAATATATTATGTGCATTCCTAAAACATTAACATAAGATCTTTAGCCATCTATAACAACTGCTCTACCTTCCACGCTCATCAAACGTCCAGAAATGAAAACCCCTCCAAGTCAAACTATTGATCAGTGTTCCAAATTATTGCATAATTGACTTTTCTTTTGAAGTAACGTATCAATTTTTGACCTTTTCTTTAAAGATGAACGGATGAAAAATTACTAAAAGATCATATCAAATGTAAAAGAAACGGGCAAAACAGCTAAGGCAACAAAAATTACGTACTCAAGGCAGATTTCTCCCATTGGAGGAACACGAAAAGCAAATACTTATGTGTACCACGATATAACAGAATGGCAGTCACATTAGTAGGAGATCAGCAACAAAAGAAAGAGACAACAGGTAAATTTATCAAACTAGAATAAACTAATAAGGACGCAGCCTCGTGCAAAAAGTGAAATGAGGTCAGGGGAACAATAACATAGTATTCAACCAAAAAGTAGCTTTAGAGAGATTGCGGAAAAGTGTATTTAGGTTACAATAAATGCTCACTAATGACACTTTTCACAAACAGAAGCAGTTTCCATTTGAGCAAGATTTCATATCATGATGCAATTCAATACATTCATACAATTAAGTAATCATAAGTACAACAAAATCAAAACTAAATAACAAAATTTGAAGAAAAGAATGGAAAAGGAAAAACTTTTGACCAAGATAAATACCAATATTCATTGTAATCATGTGTACAACAAAAGCAAAACTAAATAACAAAATTCGAAGAAAAAAATGGAAAAGGAAAAATTTTACCAAGATAAATACCACCAAGTAAAATTCACAAAATAAGTCTGTCTAAAATAAACAAGTTAAAGTTTTAGTTTAAAGCTCCAGCAAAATAAAATTCTAGTCCTCCATACAAACAAATAACCATAATGGATAATTAAATGAAGCAAACCCAATAAAATTTGAAAATATTCCCAAACCTGAAAATGAGAGCTATTGAGGCAGCGAGCAATCTGTCTAAAAAGAGGAACCATGCACCGCTGAAACTCGGCAGCTTGTGTTGCCTCCAGAACTTCTTCAAGTTCTCCAAGGAAAAGAACTTCCTTCTGACAGTTGGTCACCGGCCAGTATTTCAACAAACCCCTTACAACCGTATCTGCCAACTTGTAATCCTTTTCAACAAACTGGGTTATGCAGTAGGACAGCTGCTGGTGATACACGGCAATTGGCTTCGGCTTATGCAGCGGTATAAGTGCCCGAACAAGGAACAACTTGTGCTCCTCTTTCATTGGCAGAGCAAACCCATTAATTATACTCCCAAGAATCTCTAAAAGCTCAGCCACGCCACTGTGCCTCTCGGTCTCATATATAAACCTATAGAATATGTTATTGATGGCTTTCCTGATGAAGGGTCGGTGTACCATGAACTTCCCATATATGCGGTGAAGGCTGTTTTTCAAGTACTCGCGCTCACGCGGGTCCTCAGAAT